TAAAAATGTATTATAAATGTTGATTTTGAGTGATGATATCCTAAATAAAAATTGTTTTTTTAAAAAAACAAACGTGGCCTCGCAGCTTCGAGTGGAAAATTGACCAACAGAAGCAGGGCAAAGGGAGGCGCGACCTAGAGATGTGAAGGCCCGGAAAAAACCCGGAAAAATTCGGAAAAAAACGTTTTTTTTCCGTTTTTTCCCCTGAAGCTTTTTTGTTTTTTTCCGAAAAATTGGAAAAATTGAAAAAAGAAAAGAAAAGAAATTGATTATGGAATGTTTTATTTTAACATGATAAATAAAATATTTTAAGACAAGGTGTTCAAATATTTTCCAAATCATTTCTAAAATATATAATGGTATCAGATTGATCTAATTTCTGTGCACTGAGGACAAGCAAGTCCTAGGTTACAAACTGAACTCTCCAATGCAAGAACAAGATGCATTTCTTCCTTTAGGAGGTGCGATTGTCAGAAGAAAATAAAAAGGTTTCAGTTTTGTTTTTGCATGTGGGTGGGTATTCTGTTTGTAATAATTGTTTGGATACACTATATTTTTAATATGCTAGTTGTGATAATTTCATGCCAAGTAAAAATGTCCATAGTCATATTTTATGTTCCTAAAGTAACAGAATGACTTTCAATCTAGAAAAGACAAAAGAAATGCTAATGTAGCATTTTTTTCAATTTTTCCGAAAATTTCCGTTTTTTTCCGGAAAAAACCGGGGAAAAACCGGGGTTTTTACCGAGCTTCAAAATTTCCAGAAATTTTACATCTCTAGCGCGACCGCGGCGCAGCTCTTGTGTGAAATCGGTCTTACTGTAATTTTTTTAATCCTAATTATCAAGCCACTACCTTTTCTGCCCATAATTTAAGCCTGTTGCCTCTCCTCTGCTGCCCACAGAACCAGCTCCCTGCCCTCCCTCTGAGTGACAGCCCTTCAAATACTTCCAGAGAGCCATCCTGTCCCCCCCTCAACCTCCTCTTCTCCAGACTGAACACCCCCAAGTCCCTCGGCCTTTCCTCGTAGGGCTTCTTGGTCTCCAGGGCCCCCGATCACCCTCATCGCTCTCCTCTGCACACAGCATTCTGTCTGCATCCTTTTGGAAGTGATCCCACCAGAACTGCACACCAGACTCCAGGTGAGGCCTGACTCGGCATACAGCAGGACCAGGACAACTTGTGCTCTGGATACCATGCCTCTGCCGACACACACCGAGACCGTGTGAGCCTCTTTTGACACCGTACAGCAAACCATTCTGGTTTAAAGCAAAACATATCGATAAACGGAACTCCGTCCCAGCAACGGCCCCCTGAAAACCTTTCATAAGAACATAAGAGACGCCAATGTTGGATCAGGCCAAAGGCCCATCCAGTCCAACACTCTGTATCACACAGTGGCCAGAAATACCAGGTGCCATCAGGAGGTCCACCAGTGGGGCCAGGACACTAGAAGCCCTCCCACTGTTGCCCCCCCCAAGCGCCAAGAAGACAGAGCATCCCTTGCCCCGGAGTCCCTATCTCTACCTTGTGGCTAATAGCCACTGATGGACCTCTGCTCCATATGTCTATCTAATTCCCTTTTGAAGCCGTCCATGCTTGTAGCCGCCACCACCTCCTGTGGCAGTGAAATCCATGTGTGAATCACGCTTTGGGTGAAGAAGTACTTCCTTTTATCCATTCTAACCCGACCGCTCAGCAATTTTGTGGGGCGGTGAAAAGGGGTGCCCCAGCCAGGATCTGAAATACCAGGGCTCCGGGCGGCTGCTCTGGGCACGCCGAGAACCCCCCGCGCCCACACGCCCCCCGGTCAGTGGCCTGCACGGCCAGCGGAATTCTGGTGGCACGGCCGTTCTGTCTGCTCACCCAGCAACATGAGGGGGCGCCCGGACAGGCTGGCGTTCTCCAGGTGCAGCACGGCCAGGCTGTTGCTGATGCGCAGGGCGCGCGCCACGAAGGGGGCCGAGTGATCCAGCAGGGGCGTGTTGCGGGCGTCCAAGTACTGGAGACAGTTCGTCTGTGGGGGGTGGGGGAAGGGGGAGAGAAGGATACGGTCAGGCCAAACGGGTTTTGAGTAAGAAGGCCGCACGGCGCCTGCAGAGATTCCAAGTCTGAACTTGCTGAATTCCACTCTGCGAGCTACTGGCATTAAAGTTGCGAGCGAGTAATTTGGCTGCTGCGTAAATTAGTTTTGCTCTCTGGAGCCCTCCTCCCTGAGCTAGGACAAAAATGTGTGAGCCGGAGGCTAAAAAACCTGTGAGCTAGCTCACACTGACTCAGCTTACAGGGAACACTGCCTGGGAGGTCGATGGGGCTGAGAGAGCTCTTTTCGAGGACCGCTCCTGAGAGAACGGCTCTGGAAATGACTTGTGACTGACCCAAGGTCACTCCAGCCGCTGCATGTGGAGGAGTGGGGAATCAAACCCGGTTCTCCCAGATTAGACTCCACCCTCCTAACCACTAGACCAAACGGGCCCTCAAACAAAGAAAGAAAAATGTACCCTTATCGCCGCCCCTTCCCCTTCCGTTGCTCTCCTCTGTATTTTGGAATCTAAGATCTGACCCTGGAAACAGTCTCTTCCATGCCAGACGTTAGCAGGGATTTCCCCCCCACTGCATGTCTACATGTTGATCAAGGAAACATGTGTCCTGATCAGGGCCGGCTCACTCACTAGGTGAACTAGGCGATCGCCTAGAGTGGGACGGCCCTTAGGGGCGCCAAACTGAACCGGGCCCCGTACTCTGGAAGTTTCTTGATTATTTGTGTTTTTCATTCTTCCTAAAATGCATTTATTTTTGAAAATTGGTGGGCGTACGGGGGGCGGGGGGGCGCCAGAAGGGATCCTCGCCTAGGGTGCAAAATAAGCTGGGGCCAGCCCTGGTCCTGATGGATACTAGAGTGAGTTCCTTAGAATCTTAGGGGAGGGGGTTAGAAAGGAGTGACGGAGAAGAGAGTGTCACCTCCATATGCAAAGGCTGTGCACGTTGGAATGCCACACGCTTGGGGGCCACAGTGGGGGGCAGGTGTGCCCTTTGTGCATTTATTGGGTTTCTCAAGAACATATGGTTAACCACTGCAGAAAATGGAACGCTGGACGAGATGGGCGCCGAGGTCATCGTTCGCCGAGGGCACCAAAAAAGCCTAGTTCACCCCTGGATGGGTCACCCTACCAAGTAAATTTGGAGTTGTGGATCGTCATATCAAAAATATTGGAAACTGCTGCACTAGGGGGAGGTGGCAGTGGCATTGGCCCGCCAACCCACCCCCCTTAGAAGGGCCGACTCACAAAACAAGCGGTTGACCACACTTGGACATGACAGGCCTAGGTTCAAAGCTCCTCACTTTGGAGGGGCTGTAACCAGGCCTGTAGCCATGGTGGGGCTTCGGGGGGCTCCACCCCCTTTCTTAAAGGCACAGCCCCCACAACAATTTCTCCTGTAAATGCTTTTTTCAATCATTTTTAAACAATATGTGTTCCGTGCGCCTTGGCGTTTAGTCATGCCGGCCACATGACCACGGAAATGTCTTCAGACAGCGCTGGCTCTTCAGCTTTGAAACGGAGATGAGCACCACAACCCTAGAGTCGGATTCGACTGGCTTTCGAGCAAGGGAACCTTTACCTTTTACTTTATGCTCCTTTGAGCAGAGCGGGGCGCTGCCGTTGACTAATTACCGCACTGAGCAAAGGGGTTGGAGTAGGTGACCTCTAGGATCCCTTCGAACTCGTGGTCAAGAAACTGGTCCCCTTTAAGAGAGTTTTCTTGCCTTAGTGCGGGCTTTCTTGACCACAGAAGTCATCACCCCCACCTGCCGGCTTGTTCTCAGAGTTGTTGCTTAGGCCGGCAGCTGAGGACTGTCATCTAATGTGCTTGACAGCTTGCAGTTTAGAGATCTGCCGTGGTCACAGCTTTCTACTGGCTCAATGGCTTTTCTTTCTGCAGGAGAACGTCTGCCCCACCAGGAAAAAAATTGCCCCACCAGCCACAGAATCCTGGCTGGGGGCCTGGCTGTAACTCATTGGTAAAGCACGGGGCTCCGCAGAGCACAAAGCACTCAGCCTCTCCGGTTTCAAAAGGTCTCCATTACCAGGGGAAGGAGGAGACCTCTGCCGAAGATCTTGGATCAGCCACCACTGGTCGGGACAGACGGGTGCGTTGTCACACTACATATAAGGCAATGTCATGCTTTATCAGTAAAACCAAGTTCACATGGCTTGGATGGACCGAGAATGACGTTTTTCTTCATTTGTTTGTTTCCTCCAAAGGGCGAGATTCAGAAACTGCTACTCCAGTGCCTCGGAGGTTCGCTCAGGCTCGTGCAAAGGCCCAAGGGAGAGCCCTTTGCAGGGCTGGCCCCTTTCCGAGATTCCTGTCTGCAAAATTATGCGACTGGGAGGGGAATAAGATGGTTCAAAGCAAGAGATTACCGTCGAGAGCGGCAAGGAGATTTATTCCTTCCTGCATGGAAGCGGGATACTCTCTGGGGTCCTGAGGCTGGTGACAAGCACCAGACCGAGAGAATGCTGGGGGAAGGGGGGGGGGGAGAGCTCAAATTCCTTTGAGGTTGGGAAAATATGTCGCTGCTCCCTCTAATCTGTGGAGTCTTGTGAGCAAAAAATCTACTTTGTGAGCTACTGGCATTACAGTTGTGGGCGAGCCATTTGGCGACTGCGTAAATCAGTTTGCTCCGGAGCCATCCTTCCTGAGCTAAGACAAAAAATGTCTCAGCCGGAGGCTAAAAAAACTGCGAACAGGCTCACACTAACTCAGCTTAGAGGGAACACTGGCTGGGACTAAACGCGGCCGCAGAGACCCTGCCGGTTTTCACCTTTCGAACAAAGACTTATTTTCTCAAAACTGGGGAAGAGGTTATTGAAAAGAGAAGGAGGAGGAGGAGGAGGAGGTCTTTTTCCCCAAGGACATTCTGCACTTCCAAGACTACTTAAGAGTTTAAGGCTTCCAGAAACATTTTTAGTGCAAGATCTGAAGGTCCCCCAGAACACACCGAGATAATAAGACGAAGCAGAAGAGGGGGAGGAAGAGGAGGAGGAGGAGAAGGAAGAAGAAGCATTCGATTTATTCGGAGTCTCAGACTTCTCTCGGAGTCTCAGAGCGGCTGACAATCTCCTTCCCTCCCCCTCCCCACAACAGACACCCTGTGAGGTAGGTGGGGCCGAGAGAGCTCTTTCGAGGACTGCCCTTGAGAGAACAGCTCCGAGAGAACTTGTGACTGACCCAAGGTCACCCAGCAACTGCATGTGGAGGAGTGGGGGAATCAAACCCGGTGCTCCTAGATCAGAGTCTGTGCACTTAACCACTACACCAAACTGGTGTTTCCGGTCACCGGGGAGACGAGGTTTGGCAGAAGAGCTGGGGCAGCGTACAGAGGAAGGCACGGGCTCCAACCTTGTCTGTGCTCTCTCTCGGAGCAATGCAATTAGAAGCAACCAAAGGAGGGAGGGAGGGAGGGGAGGAGGGACGCTGGCCAAGCGGTACCACTGACCTTCCGCATCATGTGCGCGGCGGCCTGCCAGCCGCGTGTGCCGATGTGCTTGTTGAAGGAGATGTTGAGGTGCGTGGCCGACTCGTAGTATTCGATCATGTCGAACAGCGCCGAGGCACCCTGACAAAGATAGAAGGGGAGAAGGGAAAACAGACAGAAGGTCAGTAGCATTATGGGGGGGGGGGGGACGACGCAATGATAAGAGAA